TTATTTGATGATCCAGTCCTGTTTGATTCTCTTGCACCTCCAACGAGCACGGTCGGCTACGTACGGTGCGAAAGAAGTTCAACGTTACAACATGCGTGCATGCGTACGTCTCATCATCGCTGGTGCCTTTCTTTGTCTCGTCCACTGTTACTTCTGTTCCAAAGTGCTTCCCATTGCTCTGTGTGAATTTTTGGTTCTGTGGCTGCCTGCCACGCGCAAAGCCGTCTGCCCGGTGTCCTTCACTGCAAGGCCCGGGGCTCACTGGCGGCCCCGAGTGGCCTTTAGTGCGGCCACTGACAATACACGGAGAGTGAAAACACCGCCCATCATCATCGTGCTGCTGTTAACCCCTCCAATGGTTTCAAATGTGTTGCGGCCCTCACACTGACGATGTCTTTTCGGCGAAAGTGGCCCCCCTCTGGAAATGAGTGAAGAACGCTGCCTTATGCCTCTTCGTTTGCTCACGCTGCTAAACTCTGGAACTCATCGTGGTTGCCGATAGTGTGTTTATGTTCATATTAAATCTTGACATTTCATGAACAAGTTTAATTTGAAAGAATGTCTTAAGCACAGGTGTCTCCCTACTTAAATTGTCAGTGGAATGGAGGTTACAGCAACTCTGTGTGCAGCGCTGGATAGTAGTAGAAAGATCATATTACCATGACAAGGATCAGTCTATGTTTACCACCGTTGATTTTCCACAACGTGGTACAAATTTTATTACTCCAAAAGGATGATGGGCTGAGTTGACCTTCAAGGGAGATTTGAACTACTTTAACTCTACATTATTTTGCGTGTGCGTTGAGTACCCTAACCAGTGTTGCCTGGCCAAATCCCTTATTTTCTATCCACTGTTATACAGCACAGTGCAAGCAAACACTTTACAATAGGCTAGCAAAAGTTGATTTGCTTAACCAGGTAAGAACTCAGACGAGTACGCTGCAGTCTCATTTGCAAGAGTGGCACACAACGGCGCCCATAAAGAAACACGGCGAATGTTCTTGCCATTTTACATTTGCACACAGATTGTATAGCCTCTGTTTAATTCCATTCCATCGCTACATTAATGCCTCTTCGCATCATGTCAGCTATAGCGTTTGTTGGATCATGCTTCTCCACGCTACACACTGCTGGTTGGTGAACATGCACCCGTGACCTGCTCAGATATCACTCGGCACTTATATTAGCCGTGGCCGGGAAATGGAACTCGGGTTGTCAGGTTCATAGCGCAGTGCGATACTAACTTGCATCATCACTCCACCCACATAACATGTACCATCTTTAAAAAAAAAATACAACAAAGCCTTTGATGTTAGCCATGGGTTGAATGTGAACTCAGGTTACAGAGCTCATACCATAGTAATTGAAAACTCATTTCTTTGAAACTGCTTTTTGTGCTTAGTTTGTTGTCCTTCCCTCGCACCTCCAGTTGGCACGGTTGGCTACGTACGGTGCGAAAGAAGTTCAGCATACACACGTACATGTTGTGCTTCCCACTGCACTACCACTCCCCCCAAATTGGTGCTCTTAACTGTATTGGGCTTTTTTTGTTTTGTTTGGGGGTCGTCCGAAAACTGGCCGCTCGTCATTTCCTGTGCTGTGCCCGTGCCCGTGGCCCTGCGGAGGGTTCTACGTGACGAACGACGACCTCGGGCTGAGAGCGTTGTGGGAGCAGGCCGCCCATTTACGACGACGGTCAAAGTTGACACTGCTCGTTGCTCGTCGTCACGCCCGTGTGCTATTGCCCCCCCCCCCCCCCCCCTTTATCGTACGGAATGGTTCGATGTAATGTCAGTCATTCTCTATGGCTGCCAGGTGAAGGCCTTCCACTTGACGAGAGACATTTGCACCGTTCGGTTAACTGCGACGCATTTTGTGATGGTAAATAATGGTCTGTGTATGCAAATGTCACATCTGGTACATGGAGACAATGACAACCGACTGATGTTTTGGAAGGGCTTGAAAACTGATAATTTACCAGAATGTTTGATTTTGGATCTCTAAAAAACGGCCAGGTTGTTGATTGATTTTCCTCATTAGCTAAGATCTGTCTCAATTTCCAAAGAGCTTTCAGTCTCATACTAAACAATGACAAATATCATCGTTGTCATCTGTAAGATAAGTAATTAGCCTCCTGTGGAGTGTAATTCTAAAATCACAAAATAGACTAAGGCCATTTTCAGTGACTCATATTCCAATATGAATAAACTTAATTTTAGATGTATATTTGTGAGAGCAAATGCCTGTCAAATCAGCTCAGCCCATCATCATTCTAGGGATGATAAAATAGCTACCACTTTGTGGGAAGTCAATGGTGCTCTCTCTTATGAAGAGAATAGCCCCCATCATGCCAGTATGGCCTTTCTGCCACTGGCACAAGACTGCCAGTGGAGATGAGCAATGCCCCATAATCACACGAGCATGGAATCACAAAACCTTAACTGTGCCTAAATAAAATTGACCTTCAATAGAAACAATTAAACTCCTCCTACCTGTTCCGATCCACAGCAACTCCCGATATCCACAAGTTGAGTTGGCTCCTCCTGTTATCTAAGCTCATGCTTGGGGAAGCAGAATTACCCGGAAGTGGTGGGAAAATGTGTCATTATGCGTGGCTATTTACACTTTACCGCACACACAAATGGAGAAGTGTTAATTTATTTACCAGGAAAACGTTTCGATCCTTGTGCTCCACACATGCCCTCGGATAACAAATGAGTTTGACTTCGTGTTGTTAGTTTTTTGTTTTTGTTAAATCCGTGGCGAGGCATGCCACGTTTATTTTATGTACGACTACAAACATTTTCAACTGCAGTGAAATCATATCGACTCTGACGTCGGTGAAGGCCACAGCTGTCAACCTTTGCACCAACGCTCTTCATGCGGGTTCACACCTACAGCTGCGTAGCCTCGCGATCAATGCACTCGCCAGTTTGCAGCACATCAGCACTTCCATTTCCCCCATCTGCTGCTTTAATTTTCGCACCAAAATGTGCCACCATCTGCTGCAAGGTAGATACTATAAACTCTGCCGTTATTCCTAAGAGTAAGTCGCGTTATAGCCACTGTGCTGGAACCATTGCCCACGACCAGTATTTTAAGGAATCTTTATTCAAAATGCCTCCATGCTCAAGCGGTTATCGGGTTGTTGCTCATCTCTTCCTATGGCCACCACCTCTATTTGTTTGTCCTTAGACTGCCTTCGGTTGGTTTCTGCACGACGGGCAGATCCATTCCAGAAAGCGGTAGTCATGGTACTGGCTCTGCAGATATGATGGGCCGAGTCGAACAATCTGAATAATCTGCAGTTGTAAAGAAATTGAGTTCTCTCTGAGCAAAGACTTTTTTACGAGCGATCATGAATCCCATGGATCTCTCACCCTGTGATAGTGACGTTATAACACTTGATGAGCCCAATATGTTGCGTGGGCTTCGCCCTTTTTGTTTGTAGCTCACAAAGCTGCAGGCACCGGAAAGACCAGAGTGGTCTCACCTCATTAAGCCGCGGTTCTTGCATGAGACCGTAAATAGAATCCATAGCGGTACCTCTTCCTCCAGACCATTACTTGTGTTCATTACCATTGGATCTAATTCACCTACTTCCTGGGCAGTGACACAACTAACCGGGTTTATGTCTTGGAAACAATCCACAATTTGCGCGCTCGCTCGCGTGCCTGCTGTGTGCGCACGTGTGTGTGAGTGTGTGTGCGTGCGTGCCAATTGCGTGAATTGTGCCACGGCTTAAAAGTTTATTTTTTTTGTACCTTTTGGGTGGTGGTGAAAAAAAATCACTCTTGAACCAAAAAACACCAAACCTATGGATAATGGCCTCGGCTTTCAAATGTCTCCAGAGACGGCGCATTAATGTTGTCAATGTTATTCCTGTGGATATTCGCGATGGGTGTTTTCTTAACGGTAGAATAGGTGATGAAATTCCCGCGATAGATGTATATACACACGCACACACATGGGCTTCACTGCAAACAAATACTGAGAGTGCCCAGTCTTATTAAGCCTATGTATTTCTAGCTCAACCGTTTTCAAACGGGCTTTGACTTAAAGTGCCCTTGCTGGTTGGTTTGTTCCAACGTGCTGCGGTTTTCTCATCAGGCCTAAAGGGCCGCTATGATGCTCCCCTGCTGCGTTGTTCAACATCCAATCGTTATGCAGCGGCGTGTTTTATACCGTCGGAAAACGTGCGTCTTCAGCCACCATTAAACTTAAGTGATTGTGAGGTAACATTGGAGAGTGCCCGGCTTGTTCAGAAATCAATGTCAGAGCATGTGGTGAGCACGACTGAAATATTAGGCTTGAACTCAGCTTGTTGTTGTTCACCCAGTGTGAGCTCAAGCTACTAATAATCACATCACGATGTAATCCATGCTTATCCATGTAATTACAACGGTCGTTATCTAGGAGAGCCTCATTAAGTCTCAATATTTTTTTTTCAAGGTCCTGCATCGGGATTTGTGGCCAGTTCTATTCTTGACTGCTTCGCACAATGAAGGCTGTCGTTTTAGACGAACCGTTACCCCTGGCGATCGTTTGCATTAGTGTCGCACCGTCAGTGGGACCTTGTGAAGTGCGGCTAATACCCACGTGACATGGGTATGAATTGCAGCGCGTTTCAGGAATCGACACCTCCAGCAGTTGGGTGACACTGGCTAAGATGGCTAGGGTGGTAAGAGCACTACACTGGATTTCTGACATTATCAAGTTCAATCCTAGTTGAGAGGTCGATGACTCGACCTCTCATTTCTCTCGCATCGCTCAAATGAAAACAACTCTGCAGGAAGTCAACACTGGTCACCTTATCGAGAGACTTGCGCCCATCGTGGCTACAAGGAATTTCCTCCCCGCCACCGCCTCCCATCAGCTCGCGAAGACCAGTGCTGCCCCTTCGCGTGTTCGGGCGGTCAGGAAGCCGTCGCGACGTTGGCTTTAACGGCGTCTCCTCTCTCCCTCTCTCCGTGTCTTCTTGCCCCTTCCCCCCCGTGCAGGCGAGATCCGCTGCTACTGCGACGCGGCGCACTGCGTGCCCACGGGCTACATGTGCAAGTCGGAGATGTCCGTGTGCTTCCGCCGCGTGCTGGAGCCCACGGACCCGCGCTCGCCGCTCGCGCACGGCTGCATCGAAGCCCTGTCGCCCTCCCCGCCGCACCCGTGTCACGCGCCGCGTCCCCGCAACCACACAGGCCGCTGGCCGGTCGTGCGTTGCTGCCAGGACGACATGTGCAACTACAACGCGCTGCACGACCTGCTGCGGCCGCCCCGGGGAGACACAGCAGGTGGGGGGTCTTTGGTCATCGTTTCCATAGTTGTCGTTCGCGGCGGTTGGCAAAGGTGTTATCGTTGTGAAAACTTCGATGGCGTCAACGTTGGCGACAGCGTCCGAAGCGGCTTGAATGTAATATTCATTGGCAGCGTTATCGGCCGCGAGGTCGTCATGATCACCCTTTGCCTAAATAAAAGGGTGCTTAGATCAAAGGGTGTTGGGTATTGACATGTCGTTGATGCACATTTATATAAGACTAGCTTATATACCCGGCGTTGCCCGGGTCAAAAAATATTTCAAAACTACTCTTAAATTTTTTATAGCACTGTGATGGTGCCTGCTATGATTACAGCAGTGCATACCGACTGTGGTGGTACCTGCTATCACTACAGTAGTACATGCTGACTCTATAGCAGCATTTATCGACTCTATCGCACAAAGTACTCACCTGACAGAGTGGCGTGGTGAGGCCTAGTCCCGTGCAGAGCCTCGGGCCTCGCCTAGATTGTCCAGCCGGCCGAGGTGGCACCTTGGCAGGCTGGGGCTGGGCTGCTACCCCTGACCCCCCCCCTCCCCCCCCAGCCACGATCTCCCTGGCCGCTCTGCAGCAATATCTACGGCCTATAGTGGTAGCATCTAGCGACTGTCTAGTAGTAATAACTGCACGCATCGGGGTGGAGGGGACATCACTCAGTGACGAATTAACGTCGGCTGCACGCGCCGACACTCACCATCCCGTCGTCGCCCTGTGTCTCGCCGCAGACCCCGTGAGCGGCGGGGGGCCCGGCCCGGAGGGCGCGGGACGCCCCGCCGTGTGGCGCTCCGCCTCCGCGTCGGCGTCGGCGGCGGCCGCGGCGGCCGCCTCGCAGGAGCTGTGGTTCCGCGCGGCCGTCATCGCCGTGCCCATCGCTGGCGCCGTCGTGCTGGCGCTGCTCGTGGCGCTGGCGCTGCGCATGCTGCGGAGCGAGTCGCGGCACCGCCACCGGCAGATGCTGGCGCGACTCCACTACGGCTTCCACGGCCCGCTGCCGGGACGCGCGTGCCCGTCGTCGGCGTCGTCCTCGACGGACGGGGGCCCCAAGTCGGCGGGCGACGCGGGCCAGCCGTGCTGCTGCTGCTGCTGCGTGGCGTGCGCAGAGGCGCCCAGGAAGCCCAAGGCGTGGTCGATCGCGCGCTGGGGGCCGGGGTGCGCGGGCGGTGGCGGCGGCGGAGGAGGAGGGGGAGGAGGAGGAGGAGGGGGAGGAGGAGGAGGAGGAGAGAAGCTCGAGGGGATGGAAGAGCGGCAGAAGTCGTCGTGGTCACTGGGACGATGGGGATCGAGCAGCGCCACCGAGAAGATGGCGTTTGTGTGACCGGGGGATTTTTTTTATTTTGCAGAGTTAACGAGACAAGAGCGTGGGCAGAGGATTTTTAAGGAACGGTGCAATTGTTTTTCGAGAAGTTGAAGAGCGCTCAGACTTTCTTTATGCGGAAAAGCACAACGACCTCCTTGTGTTACCTTTACTCGCAAGATCGCAGAGATGCGTTCAGGGTGTCCGTCGAGGTTCAAGGCAACGGTAAAAACCAGCGACAATGAAAAAATGTCTAGACTCTTGAAACGCTTTTCTTTAGTTTTCCCAAAACTGTTTTCTGTCTCGCTATGTGGTTATCGCTGCAGTGAGCTTAAACTTACAGCGCGCTTTGATAGTGAAGCTACTTAGTTCAAGAACATCGAACTCTCTCTGCCGACGACAGAACCAACGAACGGAAAGCGCGACGACGCGCCATCCCAACAGCATCCCCCGCGGGAACTTTCCCGTTGGTCATTTTTCAAAAAAGGAGGGAATCGCCAATGTGCGCCACTGATGACGCTTGCGAAGAAGTGAAGGAAACGGAACGATGTCGGTGAGGATTTGTTAAATTAAATTGCCGACGCACACTCTTGCTGGGTGTGTTATCGGTGTCTTGTGTAAATTTGTACAGAGTCTGCATGGGACTTGTGTAGTGTGTCCATATTTTACACCGACTTGTGTGTCTAGCTTTCATTATTGTTGTTGTGATTTTATTATTGTTAGATTTTTTTTATGATGTTGCACACTAATATAGGTCTACTTAGATCAATGGGATTTATAGTAACGAGAAACTATATTGTCCTTAAAACCAGGGTATTACGAAGCATGGAGAATTTCCAGCATTATGCCTTTTTACATCATCTTGGCATAATTGGTGCAGAGCGCTCTCTTTTATGTACATACAACTGTTTGGTTTCTGCTGTCATTTTAAAATATATTTTCCCTGTTGAACAGCTAAAGAAGTGTTGTGTGTGTTGTTTATCTCATCCTCAAATGAGACTTAACCCATTTCACCTGGATCTATCCCATGACTTGTCAGCAAGCCCTCGACACTTCATGTGATAGCCCCAAAATGCACCCAGCCTGGCACAAGCTCTGAGGTGACGCCATCTCCACTTAGTAGCACGTGGCGGCTGATGTTGACTTGACGACACATGGGGACCACTCAAAGAAACCCATCTGCCAGCTTAACTCTCAAGCTGGCCTGCCATTTTTCAATGCTGGCTTTACCCATATTGGATTTTGTGTGAGATGCTCTGACAAAATAAAAAAAAAATCTCAACAAAGTCCAAACAGAGAGGCCCTTCTGGCAGGTGAGGGCTGTGTTGGCTTCGTCACATAGCACACATTCTCAGCCATCCGCATGCCAACGCAGCTATTGTTTGGCTGGATATACACGGGGCTTAATGGGAGCAGAAAGGCAAGAGACGAATGGGGGTAGATGTGGTTGGTACAGGAGGACCTTTATTTGGGTGTAGAGTACTTGCCAATGGGAGTAGTATTAGCAGTGGCTGATGAAGAGGTTGCTGGCAGCAGCCATCCCCGTGCAACATAGTCCATGAGCCTGGGCCAGATATTTCACTTGTCAGTACCACCCGAGATGGCATAACTTCAGCGCTCCCAATGTCTTAATATGGCCAACAACAATCATGTGGACATCATTTAATTGAGTGGGTTATCTGCATTAACTCTTTCTCGCCACGTAAATAAATTGGTAAGACTGTACTAGTGGTTTGCAACTTCAAGTGGGACCAATGTATGCTCTGGCCCGTGTGCTGACAATGGAAGGCAGATTAACAATGCTGATAGCAGTCAACATAGCATCAGGCGACAAAAACAAACGCTGCAAGTTGGAACAGTAGGCAGCGTAGGTGGCCCATCAGCTATTCACTCCGGTCTCTAAATACATAACACCTGGGCTCAACACATTGCCTCAAAGTGCCTCTAGCCTAACACGGACATTGTGGTGACATCACTGCCCCCGATGTTACTGTTTAATCCACATCAGCAATGATTTATCCACTGCTAAATGAAGGCCTTCCCAAGCCACCGTCTCTCACGCAGCACACAAGTGGATTCCATGACTTCATCCCTGCACTGGACGTCCACTCAAGCTTACACCTGCGCCTGCCTTGGTGCTGACGGCACCACTGAGGAAATCAGTTGCACGTGATGATGGAGCATCGAGTTTCGAGGATGCGCTACCGTTTGGGAGATACGCTGGTTGGTGAAATGTATCTGACGTGGGGAATGCACCGCTCACACTCAGGTGGCCTACTTATTTATCATCCAACCATTGCCCCCCACGTTTAAATGAGCATTGGGCAGCAGCGATATCCGCTGCCATCCCTCAGCCGGTGGTGGAAATCCCATGTTGTTGTGGGAGGGGGCGAGTCGATAAGCAATCGGCAGAATTGGAATTTACTTTGCAGTTCCAAGAGACGCGGCATGGAGAAGCCTCTTCATCCGAGAGCTGGTGACTAAGGTATCCGAGTTATTAAACACGATAAATGACCTTCCGTTTGTGAGTCACGCGTTCTCTCGGTGTCACCCAGTCAGTGCTCATAATTAAGAGCCAGCTGGTTATCGTAACCAGTTGGCTCTTTTTAATTGTCCAAGTGAAAGCAGATGGCACATTCCCCCCCCCCCCCAAATCCTGGCAAAGAGTTCACCAGGCCGCTGCATGGATCCCAACTGGATAGGTAACGTGGAGAACGCACCAGCCGCTAGACTATTCGGCCTCCTTACACACACGCACAACAATTTGTAACAACATGGAGAGAGAAAAAAAGGTACGTAAACTTCAAAGGTGATAGAGTGCTTCTTGTGCAAATTCTAGAGCCTACATAACCACAGGAAGGCAGACTCTTCAAGACCTCAATCTGCAGCTCTTCTTTCATCAGCCACGGCCCCCAAAGCACCGCCGCTGACGCTGCTGCCATCTCCGCGGGGAGACTGATTGTTTAGGCTGGAGCCGAGCGCTTCTGCTGCCACGGCTGTAACAGCACTTCCAGTGACTGCGCTGTAAGCGACTGACCCTTGACCCCCTCCCCTCCCTGCCTACCGCCCCTCTCTGTCGGGCGCAATGAACACTGCGCGGTGTTTGTAGGCGCGGCGAGCTAATGTGTGTTTGTTCTGCGGATAAGCGGAGGCTGCGAGAGGCACGTAGAGGGAGTGAGAGAGGGCGGGAGGGAGTGAGAGAGATGGAGAGAGCCTTTAGACGTTGAGGTTTTGGTCGTTCTCGCCTGGGTCCCCCGGCCCACTCAGCGGCTGAGCACTGTGGAAGAGCAGAGAGCGTCCCCACACTCACCCCGCCCCCTATTGCCTCAATGGGACTGACTTCCTTTGATGGCTCTTTCGCAGGACAAAAGTGAAGCCCCCCGCACATCCCCCATCGCCCCCCCCCACTCTCTGTCTTCGTTAGAAGTTCGCGTGAGTGCAATGGGCGAGATGCGGGCATCAAGGAATCGGCGCTGGCCTGGAGAGGTGAGCGACGGGCGGGTAGGAGGAAGATTCCCCCCCACAATGCATCAGAATCGGAATCTTTGATTTGGCCCGGAGGAGGAATCCAATGAGCTATAAAGTTATTTTTTTCCCACAGATGTTCAGTATGTTTGGGGGGATCAGCAAGTTACAACGGCAAACAATACAACAACAACACGTATGAAGTATATAAGAGAGACATTGGCAAGAAAGTCACTGCAAATAAAAAAATGAATAACGATTACCTTCATTATATAAGTCCGCTTTAACTGCTGACACCCGTGTAGTTTGTACAGCAGTGTGCGTGCAGCTGTGATCGTTGTTTCTCTCTCTCTCTGCCAATTATTATAAACGGTGGTAAATGTGCCGGCCCTGTGATGTCTTGTTCTCGCCACTGCTGGCAGAAGGTCCTCTCTTAAACGGACCTCTGCAGATGCTCTACAGCTCCAGAGACGATGGCCTACTCTTACACGCCGACCAGGCGTCCTGGAATAGTTGGGTGTACCCACACTTTACCCAACAACACGTGACTAAATATTATTAATCGCTACTTTTCCTCTGACTAACAACAGGACAGTGTTAAAAGGCCGGTCAAATGTCAACATGTCTTGGACAATCTCAAGAACAAAGTTAAGATTGGTTTTTTTTATGAAAAGGCATGTCCTTTTCATATTTAGATTGGTTTCGCTTTAGCTCGTTGACAGGAATTGTTTATTAGTTACATTGAGTCGTACAAAATATCACAAAGAAATAACTGACGTTTTGGCCAACACATGGGGAAAACGTGAAGTTTCGATTTGACAAATTTCACACGATATTTAGTAAATACTGTACATTAATTGTATCATATTGTTCATAAAACATATACTGGACCTAGGGGAGACCCAGGACTGGTTCAGATAATCGTCACTGGTTTTGGCCGTGAGCCGGAATCGGACTCGGACGGCCAGGATCATACTAAAACTCTCCATTGGTAACAAAGACAAAGATCCCCCATATAGCCTGTAAAAATAGTGTTGGGGCAAGTGCGGTTAGCGAGGATCACATGTGAAGGCCAGCTTAGCACACGAGGGGGATGGTTGGCCAACACCACGCATGCAACCGCGTGTACGGTGTGAAAGAAGTACCACATACATACATCTACAGAATTTTTAGAAGCCCCCCCCCCAATATTATCTTTGGATTCGAGGGGAGAGAACTGACACCAATTCTATAGAGATCATCTTGAGTGGCATGTGTTATCAACCGTATCAAAAACTGATGGTCATTTGGCTACAGGGATAATCCAGGTGTACTATTACATATGGGGCTAGTGGTAATATTTACACATACTCCTGTAAGCTGTAGTTATATGAATAGATCGCCTTTATTAAATGTATTCTGCTGAAACAGCTGCTGGTCTAGACGGACTATTGTCATGTCAGCTGTCCCTTATTGTTTGGTTTGCTGTCGGTATTGTAGTTATATTGTCAATTTATTTTACCGAGGCCTCTGCGGGTATCATAAATTGGATTTTATGTGCAAACAAACCTTCAGTCTGCCCTGATCTTACAAATTAGCTTTTATTTTGTATTTGTCTGGACATACTAGACAATAGTGTAATTTTAGTTACAAAAACAATATTTACACTGGCTTACAATATATATTGAGCACAATGGTGGAGTACACTAACGCTTTAAAGATTTTCTCCCCCGTGTGTGCATGTGGAGAGTGGTGGTACAGTGTCACGTGTATATACTACTATAAATGCATGTATGTTGAACTTCGTAACCAAACCGCGGGGGAAGGACAACAAACTAAACACAAAAAGCAGTTCTCAAGAAATTAGTTTTAATTTTAGATGATTTTAAAGTGCATAGCTCCAGTGGTTTCCTAATATTGGAAGGGGGAGCGTACCAAACAGCCGCAGACGAGCATCTAGCCAGGAGCAATGCTGTGAGTCTGATTCCCGGCCATGCATGACATCGGTGGTTGTTGTCCGAACCCTTGCTGGGGCTTGACGAAGTCAATTCAGCCTCAAATGAGTGCCCGTTAACGTTAGTAAAGGTCAGCAGCATTAAGACAAAGGTGGCTGGGTCAGGTGTGCTACCGATGTTGGCCTCTCACACACCCATTTCGGTCTTAATAGGTACTCACAAACAACATTTGCCCCGGCAATCTACAGGATTATACAGGGGATATTGGCTTATTTGTGTGTCCGTTAGTCTTTGTGTGTGAATGTGTAGAGCGGTGACCTGGTGTTCAGTGTTCCATGCTACCATTCCCAGTAACCCCAGTTTAATTCATGGCCATGCACAGCACCACTGGCATCTGGTATCCAGACCTGGTCTGGACCTCGCCTACGTTGACTCTGATTAAAATGGATAATCAGTGCAAATCTGTAACATCAGTAGTGGGTAGACAAAAGTGGCTGGGGTTGTCGTTTGCAGCACCATGCCATGCCGTTGTATACAAAGGTATCCCCAATAGGTGCTCG